TCGATTCTGGTCAGGGCACAAGCCCGGGTTTCGGGCTCAATCCCCAGTGGGGTGTGCAGGAGGCAGCCAATTGATATTTCTCTCTCTCTATCCCTTCCTCTATCTCTAAAATCAATAAAAACAATAAAAATAAAAAAAGTCCCTAACACCTTTCTTTGACTTTTACTTTCTCTCACCTCTATAACCTAGGTACACTTCAATATATCATTGAAACTGGACTTCTGGTAATAAAAAGCTTTTCTCAGAATTAGGATCCCGCCCTTAAAAAACTAAGTTATTCTAAGCCCCAGATTTCTTTTCTGGCTATTTACGTGATCAATGATTGAATTGAACTTAAGACTTCATTGTCTTCCAGAAATCTTTCTTTAATTCTATCCCACAATGACATTTCCCATCATTTAAATTTCCTAGACTCAAAGTAGGTATCACATCATGTCAAATTTCAATTCTCTCCAGTTATTTCATTTATACGTGCCTTAACTCCCAACCCAGGCTCTAAATTTTTCAAGACAAAGTTTATGCCTTTTATTTCTCTATAGCATATGATGTACCCTGGACAATGAGGCAATCCTAAAGAGATATCATATATTAGGTAAACCCACCCTCCCAAACTCTTATTACCAAATAATGCTTCCAGGATGAATCAATAGGGTGATATAAATGTCACAATGCAATCATCACAATGTCAGCATGACCACAAAGAAGCTTCTAGCTAGTTAAGTTTCTCAGAATCTTACCTATAGAATTAAAAGCTGTTCCAGGCAATATAATCATTATACTATTTGTGCAGTGTCTACCCCTGTCCTAGACACAGAACAGGTGTCTGTTCAATTAACATTTAAAAATTTTAAAGCATAGTAAATTTCAGTAACTATACTGGCGATTTCTATGTGCTGGCTTTGTACTTTCTACTTGCCTTTGTAGCCTCTCAGAAATTACTAAAGCAATACAGAGATATGTTTAGTTATTTCTGTGGGGCATGTTAAATATAAGAATAGCAATAGCCCCATACTATGAAAAATCTCAACCTGAGGCAGCATTCCAAGCTAGGCAAAATGTAAAGGATTTATCTGCCGCTAGCAGTGATAAATACTTATCAGTAAATTACCATTCACATCTACCAACATAACTTCCATGCCTAGTATTATGAAAATCTGATGATTCCATAAAATATTTTTAATGAGATAAAGTACATACAAGAAAGCTGCCATTTACCTTGAGTTCTGCAATAATTAAACCTACTGTATTAAACATCACTACCATTCATCCAAAATAATTATATTACAAATTAAGGCAGAAGAAAAGAGATTAAGACTCTAACAAGAAAGGATGAAAACCATACAGCATTTACAAGTAGAAGAGCGAAGTTTGGCATGGTGGTAAGATGGTATAAAAGAGGAATAATATGCCTTAATTTAATGCTTTAATATACCTACATTAACCTCTCCAAAGTAAACTAACACTAGAAACCTCTTAAATAAAGAAGTTGTAAAGAAAAAAACTGCCACAGAAAATATACTTAAGTGCCATATTGCTGAAGTTAAAAGAAACTAAGTACAGCTGCAGTTTTATCTGAATTTACCACCTTAAGAGTTAATTTTTAGTTATTATAATTAAAGCAAAAAATTCACATAACAATGATATTTCTAAGTGTGGTGATACTTGATTTTAAAATATGTATAGCCAGGAAAACAGAATAAAATATGATCAGATTCCTCAAAATTCTCATTACCCTGCAATTATTTTAAAACTTGCTTGTATAGCTACTACAAAATCAGGACATCTCAGAATCACAAAACCTTTAATAGTTAGTGGTGCTAGAGAAGGAGAATAAAAGATGTTATTTAAAATGCTACAACAGGGAGAAAAATAGAAGCATTATATATATTAGGAAAGTAAAATGCTTTCATACTAATATTTTTCTTTCTAATGTATGAAAAACAACACAAAGTTATGCATTTAAAATCTGCCCAAGGTCGCTGAACAGTACTTGTTAAAAAAGACCTGCATACTATATACTCTATATCAAATATACCTAAACAATGTAGGCAATGTAAACAATGATTTTTCTCTATTTGTTTACGTCACCATAATTATTTTCTGAAACAAGGCTTCATACAGTAAGGTTTTATAACAGTAGGAGTTAAAAAAGGAAACCACAATATAAAGTACTTAGGAGTATGTAAATATAAAGGATATATTTAAATCCTGGTTTGCTTTTAAAGTTTGACAAAAAATATGGGTCTAGGACTAGAGAAACTATTTGACATGTCAAACTTAAATGATATAATTATTAGAAATAACAAACAAATTTTCAACTTACCTGGTTTCTTTCTGGATTTTTCATGACCTAGCTGTCCCAGATCATTGCATCCACATGTGTACACTGTTCCATCATCCAGAACAAATACAGTATGCCTGAGTCCACATCCTACATCTCGGACTTTTTTGTTTATAAAAAAGTCACTTTTTCTGGGCTCTAATACAATTTCTTCATCAATTCCACCCAAACCTAGCTGTCCAAAAGATGCATTTCCCCAGCATAACATGTTTGTAATTCTTTAGGTCTTCCAGTTTCAACAAAAAACTCTCTTTCTGAAACACTGGAAAGTTGGAGGTATCTCTATGGCTGAGGAGATAGAAAAAAAGTTAAGATGACTTCAAAGGAAGTATGATGTATTGTTGCTCTTTCAATTGCAAGGCTACAATAACTATTATATAGTAAACATTAAATCCATCTCACAATATGCTACATATAAGCATCATTCAGTTTCAAAACCAATCAGTTGTATTTTTTAAAATATTTGCTATAGAAACATTTAGCTCTCTCCATGAGCTCTGTAAAAGTTTAAACATTTAGTTTTTACTTTATCTTGTGATCCTCTACTACAAATATTATAAGTATCTTGATGAAATTAATCCTTTTCTCCTTTTTGCTTTAAATAATTTCAATGGAAGAAATAAGACATTACTGTCGCAACAATCAAGGAAATTACAGTGAAAAACTTAGCCAACTTCAGAAACATAAAACCCTGAAATCTCCCTGAAGCCACAGCATAATTAAACCTTCTAATACCTACCTCCAACATCAACAGAAAACTGAAGTTCTGATCTGTAATAGAAAACCAATAATGGAAACTTTAAATTTCCCACCATTTAAACGACTTCCAATTATTCATGCCAATGTTGAGGCCCTAGAGAAAATTATTCTCTTGCCAGGCCGCGATCTTAACGACAATCGCCTCGAAAGATCATACTTATAAAAATTAAAAATAAAAAACGTAACACTCCGACCTCACTACAACTTTAATTTTAAAACTAAATCAATGGACATAATTGTCATACTCACAAAAGAAAACACGCAGTTTAATATCGAGATTCTCCCCCAAATTCAACATTTGTCTATTAATGAGTGGTAACCGCGACTGGAAAACATTCCCCCTGGGCCATCAATATCTATCTATACCTCCGAGACCATTATATGAGGATTGGAAAAAAAAAAACCCGCAAGCAATTCCAGCACGGCCGACCTTTCAAAAAATAGGCATGGGGGCTGGGCCATTGATAGCTGGGTGGCGAAATCTGTCGAACTTTCCAGCACATGGAGTATTTCTGCGTTTGTAAAGACACAGATAACAGAGTCCAGTTCACCTAAAGCCACCCGGGCCTTAAAGGACATCGCATCACTAAGTAACACAATGACAGGAAGTCCGCCTGGTGCTCGCGGCAGTCACCCACGTTCATTATTACACAGAACCTGCGAAGTTTCAAAACCCAACTTTCCGACGTTCGGGCAAGCCGGTGCCCACGCCGTCCCATTCCACGACCCCATCCATTCACACAAGTTGGATCTCATTCTTTTGGAACATCAGAACTCGATCGTTCCCGAGAGCTCTGCATTGTTTCCCCCCGGGGGAAAAAAATTTTAAAAAAAAATTTTTTTTAAATTTTAAGGAGAGAGGACAGGAAAAATACCCCTTGATTTCAGCGCACGAGGTTTAACCATCCTTTTCTTTTCCAAGTCTGAAGGGGTCTAAGAAAGGCGTCCTCCCGCCAGCAACAGGTAGGGGGGCTGAGAAGCAGTTTTCATTCCCATCGTATTCCCTGGACGTCCGTCCACTCAGACCACTTCGGGGGGACCAGGGGGGAGGACCCGTCTGCGCACCCCCAGCCTCGCCGGCCGACCAGTTCAGCTCACTACGGCAGCCGCCCGCCCGCACAAGTCGCAGGGACCGGCGGTCGCGGCTCGGCACCTCGGCGGCCTTCGGTCCGAGGGGGCCCTTCCCCCGCGAGGTGCCACATTCCGGGCCCCATGCCGGGGAGCCGCGACCCTGCCCTCGTTCCCCGCCCCCCACCACGAGGAAGCGCTGAGAAAGCACCCGGCGCCCGGCCGGCCTGTATCCGCCCGGCCCCGCCGGCCCCGTTCCTAACGCCGTCACACACCCCCGAACCCCCCCCCCCTCGCCCCGGGCAACGACTCACCCGACCGCTCAAGGCAGGGGGGAGCTCCGGGCAGCGGAGGGCGGCGCCTCCCCAGACAGCGAGGCGGCGCGGCCGCTGAGGCAGGTCTCCAGCGCTTGGACCCTCCTCCTTTAACCCGTGGCGGCGAACACCATGCAGGGCTCCTCCGGTGTCGGTGCCGCTGCTCGCGGCTCCCCTCCCGGCTCCTGGGAAAGTTTCTCGGGTTCCTCTTAGAGCAGCCGCCGCCGCCGATGTCCAGTCCAGAAACAGCCGTCAGCGCCCCGGATGGAGCGGGAGGGGAAGGGCTGGAGCCCAGCGGGGCGGAGAGCGCGAAGGGTGGGGAGAGTTTGGGGAGAGGATGGGAGAAGGGAGAGGGGGAAGTGAAGAGGCGTGGGAGGGGAGGGGGAGGGGCCGCCGGAAGTGAGCCACGGAGCACGCGTGCGGGCCCGCCCACTTCCCGCCCCGCGCGCCTGCGCCGGAATCCTCCCCGGATCGGCGCCCCGCGCGCCTGCGCAGTGAGCTGTTTTTTTGCCTTGGAAGCCAAGGGCCAGATATCGAAGTTGGAGTTCCCGAAGATCGTCGGAGGTGTGCTTCTGCGTGTACGAGGGCCTTTTAGTGAAGAAACTCTCTTTTTCTGCTCATAGGTTCCAGGCTATACAGTGGGGCCTTGACTTACGAGTTTAATTGGTTCCGAGACCGAGCTCGTTAAGGAGCTTGTTAAGGAGCTCGTTAACTCAAATTACTCTATCAACTCAATGCAAAAAATCGGCCAGAGGCAGCTGGTATCTCAAAAAACTCGTTAGTCGGGACACTCGTGAGTCAAAGCCCCACTGTAATTTTATTCTGTCTTTTCCCAAGGAGAATTTTAAGTAGCAGATGAAATACAACAGAGTTATGACGGCGCGTGAAGCCTTTTCTTGTCTCTCTCAGCTTCAGCCGGAGCTAATCTGAGGATGACAGGTATATTCATAGCCATGGCTGAGGCCATGGCATTAAATGTCAGCACCACCACTTAGGCTTCTGGTAATAGTGATGGCTGCCATCACTTGCTGCACTCTCCCTGGAAGGTAAATTCACATTGCAGCATCTCCTTCACTCGGGGAAAATGTAGTAATGCATATGGCTGGAGTCCCTGCTTTATAAAATCGAAGTTTTAACCTCTTAAAAGGAGGAAACTTGAAACAAGGAAGGCACTTTGGTAATTTATGTTGGACTTTGCTAGAACCTGTGACTTAGGGGTGAATGTTGAGGCCTTGGAAAGAATTCCACAATAGGTCATGTGTCTTTATCTCCTTGAAAAGCACATTTCAGATTAGTATTGTAGGGCTGCCATAACAAAATACCACAAAGTGGGTGGCTTAAAACAGCAGAAAGTTATTGTCTCCGTTACGGGAGCCAGGAGTCTGCAATCAAGGTGGCAGCAGGATGGGTTCCCACTTGGACTCTCAGAGAACTTTGCCCCCATTCTCCTGTCCTAGCTTCTGGTGGTTGCTACAGTCCTTGGCATTCACTGTAATCTGCCTCCATCTCCACATGGTGTTCTTCCCTATGGATCTCAACAGTCTGAGCATTACTTGGTGTCCAAATTTTCCTCTTAAAAGGATGCATCATTGGCTTAAGGCCCACCCCAATCCATTATGACCTCTTTTTAACTGGGTTCTATCTACAAAGACCCTCTTTCCAAATAAGATCACGTTCTCAGGTAGCAGAAATTAGGACTTCAACAAATCTCTTCGGGGGACCCAATTCAACCAACGACAGTATGTTACAGAAATAAGTGTAAAAATGACATGATGCTTTAAGCAAAGAAAGCATCTCTCTCTCTATATAAAAGCCTAATGTGCAAATTGTCCCCTTGGGAGTTCGACCGGGAGCGGCGTGGAACAAAGGAAGGCCCTGCTGGCAGCCTAGGGACCCTACCCGTGCATGAATTTCGTGCACCAGGCCTCTAGTAATTTCAATATTAGGAATGGTGAGAATGCCCACAAAAAAATGCTTCATTCTTATTTTGGTAGCTTCATTGCCCTTACAGGATTTTTGTTCTCTTTGAATGTTAAGGACTTGATCCCTCAGAATATATCAGTAAAGGGGAAGTTATGGACTTTGGGATTTTTGAGATAATATACTTGAGCTGCAACAAATCAATACTAAAATTCGAGTGGCTTAGCATAATAAAGGTGTATTTGTTACCTTCTTAACAGTCCAAGTGGATATTCCTACTGAATGAAAGCTGATTTCCAGGAACCTGAGGAGATAGGAGTATGGGGAGTTTCTTCAAATTCTTATCTGAGACGTGCCACATATTACTTCTGCACATACAACATCAGCAAGAACTACCTACCTAGATATAAGGGGACAGGGAAACAATCTCTGGATGAGTTCCAGGTACTACTTTATACTGTAGAAGAGAAACCTGAATTAGTGGACAGCTATCTCTGCCACATGGATACATCTCTCTGGAATTTTTTTTTTTTTTTTGGTAGATAATTTTTATGAGTTTATTTGAGCCAAACTGGCAACATATGCCAAGAGCAAGATTTCAACTGCTCTTCTCTCTGGAATATTTTTAATAATAGGTCTTGCTTATAGAAAGTAGAATGGACATCTGTAGATGTTCCTTTTAACCTTATAAATCTATGAAACTGTAGTGTAAGATTTTAGAAAATAGCCTGTGATTATCTTTAAGATGAGACAACTATAGGATCAGAGGGGTATTAGGATAATGTAAATTTACTGCATAAAAGCAGCATGAGATATTGATGAGAAATATGGCCTCTGATGTTGATTTGTCTGGACTCAGAGCTTGAGCCTACAGGCCACCTCAAATCTCTCTCCTATCCTCTCAGACATTTACTAATGATCTGTTTTACAGAAAATTATGCCTCAGTCACAATTTCTATAAGTGGGGGATGTTAATTCCTATCTCACTGGGTTGTTGTGGGATTCAATAAGGTAACATGTACAGTGTCTTGCTCCTTTGGCAAGTGTTTTTTATAAATGATTGCTATTATTACTAATATTATATCTTTTGAACTACAAGTAGTCAACATTTGGGAAAGTATTCCATATCACCAATAATGAAATAATTTTAATTTAGAACAAAATGAAATATTTTTTTACCTACTGTATTATTTTCATTTTAAAAGGTAATGTTCAGACTGTTGAGACACCACTAAAATAGGTATTCATTTTGTCCCACTCTTAGCTTTGCTCCCTTCCATCCAGCCATATTTTTCGTGCTGGACCTCACCTCACTTTCTTCATTCAGTTCTCTACTCATGTCATCTCTCCAGTCTTCCCTGACTGTCCTATCCAAAAAACACCCCCTCACTCTGTAATCTTATACTACTTTATTGCCTTTCACATCCATTATCATTACCTGATATTTTATTGTACGATTCATAAATGTATATTATATATGTAATATGTAGATAATTATAATATATTACAGTTTATGGCCTACAGCATGTGCTCAAAAATTATTTATTGAATTATTAAGGGTGCTGGCAGCATTGTAAATGATCACAAATAAATATATTTGGCCATATGTTTCAAGAGGCAGTAAATTTCACTTAACAGTTCATAATAATAGCAATATTTATTGTGAGATAGTGTACTAAACTATATAAATATCACTTCTTAAACGCTATCCTAAAGAAATACAAGATGCATTTAACAAATATTTATTGAGCACCTACTATGTGCTACTCTCCCAATTCTAATAAGAGGAAAATAAAAGTCTGAACAAAGATTTTTGTTATAATGTTATTTCTCATACCAAATATTTAAAACAACCTAAGTTCCAACAATGGGAAAATGGGATGAGTGGCAAGGTTAATCCTTTTATTAGTTAACTTTGAAAGGATAAAATGGTATTGTCCAAAATAATTTATTACCAATTGTCACCAAATCATAGATTTCACCTTGACTGGACAACTGGAAAGGCCTCCTCTAGTCATTTTACCCACTCCTGCTCTCTGAGGTTAGAGCCTCCACTTAAGCAGTTGCACAGCCACACTTTTTTATGTCCCTCCCTAACAACTGGAGAGTTCTGCTCTTTTCATCCCCTGTCTTATGGGCCCCATAGTCATTTCTCCTTGGCCTTTGAGCTAGCATTAATGGCTTCAGCCTAATGTGTAAACAAGGCAGATCTTTTACCAGGTTCTTGAATAAGTCTTTACTGAGCACCTACTCTGTGCTGCCTTCCCAATTCTAGTAGTAGAGATAGAAGGGGGGGAAAACGACTAGCCAGACAAAAGAATTTCAAATTTTAATAAATACTAAGGGTACAAACGGCGTAGAGATAGAGAATAATAGAGAAAGTCCTTGAAATAGAATGGACAGTGAAGGCCTCAAAGAGGAGTCACTATTAAAACTTAGAGCACCGCCTTGCTGGTGTGGCTCAGTGGTTGAGCATTGACCCAGGAACCAAGAGATCACCAGTTCCATTCACGGTCAGGGCACATGCCTGGGTTGCAGGCTCCATCCCCATTAGGGGGGGTGTGCAGGAGGTAGCCCATTGATGATGTTTCTCGCTCATTGATGTTTCTATCTCTGTCCCTCTCCCTCTCTCTCAAAAAAGCAACAACAACAACAAAAACTGAGAAGAGTAGGAGAGACCTGAGTTTGTGGCCTACCCCATCTCAGATCAGGTCTAAGCCCTCTCCCTGGGAATATGGTAACTATACACTATTTCATAATCCTCATGTGAATCTGCTTCCAACTGGCTATGAAGATGAATAAAGAGAACCTGGACCACTACCTAGTGGGGACCACAGCACTGATTTGGACCATTACTCTGCACATGGACCAGAAAAGTGTACGGAACCTTAAGATGACTTTCTTTCCTAAGTATCAAATGATGACTAGAACATACTAATCTCCCTTCTCTGGGTTTATGGCAGGAGATAGTTTAATAAATAACTTAGATTCGTCATGGAAAAAACATACACAACTTAGAACAAAGAGAAGGATCAAGCTTTGTGAAGAGAGGGGTGAAAAGCAATTCTAGGTGGAGGGAGCAATGCAAAACCCTTGAAGGAGGAAAGAGCGTGGCATTTTCCAGGAACTGAAAGAAAATTAATACAGTTGAGCACAGGGACAGTTGATATGCTTGGTGATAGGTAGTCAAGAGTCCAGATCCGGTAGGGCACATTAAGGAGTTTTATTCTATGTACTATTCAAGGGTTTCATGCCAGCAGACGGGCAATGATTATGTGTGTTAAGAAAAAGATTGCATTTGATGCTGAACTGGATAGGACTGCTGAATTAGAGGAGGGTCAAAATGGAGGATATACATTATTGCGCAGGCTTTTGCAATAATACAAATGAGAGAATAGTGGTGAAACTAAGGAGGTTGTGATGGAGATTAAAAAATGAAGAAAGTAGATAAAAAACATACTGTGAGAATAGGATTAACAGGGTTGTGATGGAAGGTTTGTAGGAAAGAATGCTGGGCCACTGGTAATTTTCTGCTTTGATATTATCCGTTATAATCTATGCCGTTTAATCTATTTTGTAAAATTATTCTGGATATTTATTATAGAATTTTTCTCAACTTTCACTCTCACAATTATACTAACTTCATATCCTGCTCCAAATTTACATTCTAGCTGCAATTTCCTTCTCAGTATCCTAGTGTGAAACAGTAGAAATGTTTATATTATGAATATCTGAGACATTTTTTAAATGCTCTCTTTCTATAATTCTCTATAACTTCTTTGTGTTTGCTTTTCGTCCCCTAATTATTAGGCATTCAACTAGCATTGAAATAGGCATAAGCCTGCAAAATCACATGTAATGTGGCCCTTGACCAGTATGTGGGGATGTGTTCAAGCCTTTGAAATTACCGTGCTAATGCTCCAGTTACTACACTTTCCGAGCAGAGAAAGTGCTCAAAATGCCCTGGGTCTTTTTTGTGTGTCAGTAAAGAATAAAAATTGTTTTTAAAAACAAAGAATTATATCATAAATTACGTCTTAAAGTTAATTTTATCCCAGCAATCATAAGATGAGGATTCTGCAAGTTCTAGTTGATAATGAGCTCCACCAAAGCAATACAGTATGAAGTGTGGGATCTATACTTACATGAATCTTTTTTCTTTTAAAAGAAACAAAATAGCAATAAAGTGGAGAAATCTCAACTATAGGGCTTAACAGTCAAACTTTGGGTAGCAAATTGAGCTATTTTGTTGCTACTAATTTTGAAGGGTCCTATAAAGATATCTGAGGTTGGAAAGTTCTAATATAGCTGTCAGAAATATGAAATCTGGAAAGTTCACTTTATTTTGTTCCTTGTGCCCGGTCCCCTACCAACTTAAATCAGTAATATAACCTTCATCAAGTCAAAAGACAAGAAAATACACACACACACACACACACACACACACACCTATATATACATATGTATATATATGTATGTATATATTTAAGTGGCATGTCTCACTGCTTTCAAATAGGATCAGGACTAAAACTAAATTTGACAAGTCTTTGTCAAATTAACAGTACTGCTTCTTTGAGTAGAAACTAAGCACAGAATGATTATGTTCATCTCTTAAATCCTTTATTAGCAACTTGCAAAGTACACAACTGTATAAAAGAAACAGTCTTGCTTGCACCTTATTCATTTCTAAAGGGAATTTACAACACATTTCAGGTTCTTAATTAAGCATTAAAAATCTTACAGAAGCAGCACAGGATCACAAAATAGCTATCATCCAAAAATAAATAAAACACAAGCATTTTATGAATAGATTTTCATTTGAGTTTGAAAATGGATTCTTATAGTCTCAATGTAAGATGTGATAGCCAGTAGGAACAGTTGAGAAGTAGTGACTAGGAAGGGCAGTGCTCCTAAAAGACATACTATAGTTGCCATCTCCATATTATCTAAATGCAGTTTAGCTATATTAAAATGACAGCAATGTTTGCCCAAGAAAAATCCATACAATTCAAGCTGCTGTTTTACTTTTTTTATAATTTTTTATTTTTTATTGTTGACATTATTACAGATGTCCCCTATTTTCCCCCATCCCCCCCCTCCACCCCAGGCCTTCACCACACTATTGTCTGTGTCCATGGGCCATGCATAAATGCATATAAGTTCTTTAGTTTAATTTCTTCCCATCCTCCCTCCCCCACTCCCCTCTGAGATCTGTCTGTTCCATGCATCAAAAAAATGGAACTGCCATTTGACCCAGGGGTCACACTTCTGAGAATGTATCCTAAGAATGCTGTTTTATTTTTATTTTTTTAAATTATGTTTTTTATTGATTTTTTTAGAAGAGAGGGAGGGAGAGAGAGAGAAACATAGATCGGCTGCCTCCCGCATGCTTCCTGCATGCCTCCTACTGATCATTGACCCTGAAACCTGGGCAGGTGCCCTGACAGGCAATCAAACCGGTAACCTCTTGGTTCATGGGTTGACGCTCAATCATTGAGCCACATCAGCTGGGCTGTTTTACTTTTTTTTTTTTTAAAAAAAGAAAAATTACTCTGTAAACTTAAGTATATTAAGAGGTGAATTTCAGTGTTTTGGGCTGTTCACTTTCAACAAACAACAAACTTCATCTGTTCAATTTTTAAAAGAAAGCTAACGTCCCAAAAGCCGCTTCCACACTGCTCTCATTCACAAGCTCTGATAGTGTTGACAATAGAATAGAAATCCTGGGGAGTAGGGAATGTTAGAATTGTTCTGGTGTGGAAAACATCTTTCTTTTTTTAAGCACTACACCATCAGAGAATACTGCAGGCATACCTTGTTTTCTGTGCTTTGTTTTGTTTCACGCCACAGGTGTTGCATTTCTTTTTTAAAAATTTTTTTAAGAATCTTTTCTTTTTGGTACCAATGGAGAGTCACATTCTACTTAAAAATCCACGAGACATTTTTAAAAAAGATACAACCAAGAAAAAGAAAGGAGACACAGATGAAGGAGAACTACTAAGAGGCTCTGAGGTAAGTTATGCTTTCTTCTTAAAACACTATTAAAAATCATGGGCAGGTATCCATTTACATACAATCAAAAATGTTAGAATAATGGAAAGAGTGAGATTCATGCAATTGCCTGAGTGAGGGGTTAGAGTTGCTCTTATAAGTTTACTTGCCATGTTCTTTTTTGTTTTTAATTTTTTATTGTTGATAGTATTACATATATCTCCCATTCCCCCCCCTCTCTCCTTTACCCTCTTCCTCCCAGCCGCTATCCGCCCTCCCAGGTCTTCACTACCCTATTGCCTATGTCCATGGACTTTGCATATAAGTATATACATTTTTTGGTTTATCTCTTCTCGTCCCCCCAGCCGCACATTGAGGTATGTCAGTCTGTTCTATGCCTCCATGCTTCGGGTCTTTTGTTGGTCAATTCATTTTTTTTTTCATTAGATTCCACAAATAAGTGAGATCATGTGATGTTTGTCTTCTCAGATTGGCTTATTTCACTTAGCATAATATTTTCTGGGTCCATTCATGCTGTCCCAAAGGGTAAGAGATCCCCTTTTTTATAGCTGCATAGTATTTCATTGTGTAAATGTCCCACAGCTTTTTTTTTTTTTTTTTTTTACAAACTGCAGGCAAAACCCTCCAACCAGCAAAAGATTACAACTCGCTTTATTGTGATACTTGTTTGATTACAGTGGTCTGGAACCAAACCTGCAATATATCAAGGTATGTCTGTACTCGCTTTATTTTGTGGTGGTCTTCCCTCCCCCTGCCCCCCCCCGTCAGCATTATCCTATCTAACAATAGACAAACATGGTAATTGACCGTACCTTCGCTACGCCTCCCATCGGCTAATCAGCGTGATATGCAAATTAGCCGCCTAAGCCCCGCCCCCAGCCGGGACCCCCATGTGCGGCCCTGGGCAGCGGTGGGGCTTGGCGGTGTGAACGGGCTGCCTAAGCCCTGCCCCGAGCCGGGACCCCCGTGTGCAGCCCTGAGTGGCAGCGTGAACGGGCCGCCTAAGCCCCGCCCCAGCCGGGACTTGCAGGAATCCTCCTGCAACGGGCTTCTAGTCTATCTATATAAAAGGCTAATATGCTAAGTGTCCGACCGTTTGACCAGTAGCTATAATGCACACTGACCACCAGGGGGCAGACACTCAATGCACAGGCATAGAAACATGCCTGAATTCATGCACCGGGCCGGTTTCAGCCCAATCCCCATAGGCCAGGCCAAGGGACCTGGCATGCAAGGATTGGGCCGAAACCAGCTCTCCAACATCCCCCGAGGAGTCCCGGATTGTGAGAGGGTGCAGGCTAGGCTGAGGGACCCCACTGGTGCACGAATCCCTACAATGGGCCTCTAGTTGAGATATAATTGATATGTAACATTGTGTAAGTTTAATGTGTACAATGTGATGATTTGATACATTGTGAAATAATTATCACAGTAAGGTTAATTAATTCCTCCACCACTTTAAAAATCTTGAGCTGAATATATTCAGACATGCCTTGTTTATATTTGGATAATCATCTGTGCTTTGGCTGCCTAGAATAGCTTCTCCAGGTTCTCCAACCCTTCAGGCTCCACAGACTAGCAAAATGCTCAAGATGATATAAAGGAGACCCTTGAGATGCTGTTTAGCATGTGTATTTTGTCTATTGCATTTGCTTATTTTTATTCTTTAAGTTAATAAGCAATTTGTTTGATTTGCCAATAACATATGCAGACATAATTTCTTGGCTTTTTGGCCATAAATATTTAAATCTTCATTGTTCCTACACTACCTTATTTACAACTATCAGCAGTTCCAGCCTGGACTTCTGCCACAACTGTGGACTACCAATAGTCTTGGCTCTTTGGTCCATCCACACAGCCATGGAGGTGATCTTTCTAAAATGCAGATTTGATCACATATCCTTAAAATCTTTATCACTAGGCATTAAAAATCCTACATAATTAAGTCTTTATCATCATCTGCAACCTCATTCTTGCCACATCCTCCAAATCATACCTTATCTTCAGTATATAAGCTATGAAATATGCTCTCTCACACTTTTCTTCATTTTCACATTGTTCCTTCAACCTAATGAGATCATCATTTTTCAAGACTCAACTCAGACAGTTCTTTCTTAATGAAGACTTGCCCTGTCTATAACAGTTAGGAAATCCCCCTCACCCCCAAATTTGGTTTCATCTTTTGTTGTAGAACTTGCCACATTACAACATAATCACTTGTCTGTCTTTCTCCCTAGACTGCTAGCTCAAGGTCAGGAACTTGGGTCTTTTCAACCTTGTATCCCCAAGAATGAACAAATACAATTGTTTCATATTAGTCAGAAGCTCTAGTTGCCAATTTTTTTATCTTTGAGCAATAAAATATGAAAAATTAATCGTTAGAAAAAAGTTTTTGTACAAAATCTCTCAAAACAATGTCTCTAGGGAAGAAGATAATTAAGAAGCGCTAAGTGAAGACAATGAACATGTGTATAATAAAGATCCATTAAATAGTTGTCAATTGCATAATTGTTCCTTGTTTCGATTACAATCTTTCTAAGGGAGGGACCTATATTATACTTTTTAAAAAATTTCCTCCAAAGCCTAGAAGAGTACTATGTTAATAGAATCATCTCGGGTCTCTTTTTATTAATGAATGAGTGAATCCATTATATCTAAATCTCAATAGGAATTTATAAGCCCTGCTTCTTTGAATCTCTATGTATATGGAAATATCTTTGATGACAGGGGCTCTACCTTGTTGATTTTTACATTCCCAGGTGTTAACACAGAGCACAGAACACAGTGGAAGTTTGATAAATGTCTGTTATCAAGATTACCTCATTGAAATATACATTTGCTTTGCTCATCATTGTATCCCTGTGACTTAAGGCGACATCTTGGCCACAGTAAAAACCTAGTCAATATTTGTTAGATACACATGATTTGGAAATATGGCACCTGGAAGGTACAACTAAAATCTAATATAAAAGGTTTTCCTTAGTCCCTTGGATTCAGGAATAAATTCAGATTAGAATTAGCATAATTCTGAAAGATATTTTATTTATTACTTTGAAATAGTTCAACCCCACAGAGTGGAGAGGGGTGGGCAAAGAAGGGAGAGAAATTGGAAACAAGTGAGGCTCACAGGAGAAAATAGCTCCTCGGAGGGGAGCCACATGCTCTGATACCCATGGCAGCCGCATGAGGAAGCGGCCTAAAATTAGCAGGATGGGCAAGCCCGGGAAGGGAGAGCCAGGCAGCTTTCCCTGCCCTCAGCAAGTGAGGTGAGGGGCTGGGAGCCCCGGTGGCAACCTCCTTAGCGGGTGGAGCCCCACTGCAGTGTGTGCCAGGTAAGGCCTTCCCTGGGAAATCACCTTGGGAGGCAAAGCAAGAGGAAACTGACTGGGATGTCTGGACAATTGAAAGATTTAACATTGCCTAGTAAATTTTACTAAGAAACTTCCTGGCGCCCCCAGGAATCTAATGTTTAAGAGAGCAATAAGAGTATTTTTATATCTATCCTCACCCAAGGTTTTCAACTAAACCACCCCTTTTCTCCTTGCGGAATTGGGCTCTCTGGGGTGGGTAGGGGCTATTTTTTTCAAGTGTTGAAGTACAGGGAGGAGGCTGTCCTAGAAAATTGTAAAACAAGGTGGAAGAGGACTGAAGAAAGGATACCTCCAAGTAATATTTAAAAATGGACAAGATACTGCAGAGCCAAAAAGGAAAGGTTAGAAATTACACCAATAGGCCTGGATGGGCAACAGTGTGCTTTTTTCATGGATGAAGTACAGAGTGGTTGAGCTGGTCAAAGACAGACAACAGAATCCTGGAGGGGGTCAGGATTTTCTCAGTATTATTATTTCATGAAGAATTAGGTCAGTGATTTAGTTTATGATGCATATAAGTTATTCCCAGAGTATTTATCACTCTCCATAGTTTCTATAAGTTCCTGTCTTCTGTTCTGGAATTCACTTTTTTGGTTGCCTATTGCTTTTTGAAATTACAATTGATTAATGGTAAAAACCCTCCAATGCTATTACTAGTAAGAGGGTGTCTCACAGGGCCAGTCTGAGGGATTGTGTTTATTGGACAGCAAAAATTCAGAACTTTTAAAAAATGGCAGCTATATTGAGATATAGTCACATACACACAATAATTCAACCAACCGTGTACAATTCTGTGGTTTTTTAGTATATTTATAGTTTTCTAACCATTGTCACAATTAAATTTAAAATGTTCATTACCGTTCTCCCCAAAAACCCATAATCATTTAGCAGTCATTCCTATTTGATATTTCCTGTAAATGAAATCATACAATATGTGGTCTTTTCTGAGCTTTTCTTTTCTTTTTCTTTTTTAAGGGAAACCTAAGTACTTAATGGGAGAAGAAAAAAACTCTTCTTTTGGTAATATTCATTGTTGATTCATCACAAAGGGGATCTGTCATTGCCTCCAGTCTCCATTCTGAATGACCACTTATAACCCATTACTCTAAAATTATTCAGTTATGGTGGCACTTCAGTTCTATATAAAATTATATGATTAATAAATGCTTTTCAGTATTGATGGTTTTTGTTTAATGATAAAATAAGTAGTCTGATGGAATGACCTGATAAAATGAAGTGCATCCAATTATGATCTCATTAGAGAACTTATATGGTACATATCCTAAGGTTTTAGTAAATAATACATGAATTAAGTTGTAGTACATCTAGAACAGTGCCTGGCAAGTAGTAGATTCTTAGTAAATAGTCACATTTTCCTCTACCCTACTTTGAATGTTAAACATTTACTCAAATTATAAGACATACAGAACAGATTTGAAGAAAATCTTAACCTAGCAGAGTGCTTTGAACATACTAGTTACTCAGTAAGTGCTTATTAAAGCAGGGAAGGGAGATTCAGACATGAATATGTGCATTATATACCTGTGACACTCTTTCATAAAGCTCTATAAAACAGTTTCATATGCTGGACTAGGAGGCTCCAATTATAATTTCATGTTCGAGCTGATATCAACTGCTGTTTTGGATAATTGACTGACCTTTTCTGGTTCACAATTCATCTACAACTCCAGATCCAGGTATGCTGGATCATAGCTAAAAGCCATCCCCATTGTTCATACTGTGGAAATGTTTTATGGCAAAGTCTCCAAGACACACCTGCCTTGTATTTATTTCATGCTAAAGGTCAGACTTTGAATTATAAGACTGCTTCTTAGGGAAGTCCAGTGGTTGACTGTCACAAGACCTTGCAGCTTGTAATTACCTTGATGAACTCATCAGGTTCCATCATCTGGTCCTCAGCTGTCCAAGCTCAGAAACCTAATTTGTTTATCAAAAATTCTTACAGCGATCCAGTCCTTTAGCAAAGTACTTACAAACCAAACTCCGAAGAGAGTAATATAGCAGCCAGAATTCCAATTTGTTAATTTATAATGAGATAAATGGCTTTAGAACAAACAAATATGTTCTTCTATTGACATAAATTTTTTTATCTATAAGGCAATGTATTTTTTAAACTAAAAAATCAATAGGAAGAAAAAAATTTAAATAAAAACTAAACTAAATTGAGATGAGAATGTTGCTGCAAGCATTGCAGCAAGGCAGGTAATGGTCATGGCATTTGGCCGTGTTGGACCGGGGCCCCCAGCTCTATCATCAAGAGCAGATAAGACTTTCTTAAATGAACATTGCTGACTCTTTCTTTTCATTTCCCTTTCCTACTGGTCATTCTGATTACCTCCTCAAGTGCAGATATAGATGTAGATATAGAAATAGATATAGACACACAAAGTTGATTTATATACACACATATATTTGGTAGATAGATACCATCAATCCATCAATTATACAACAGCTAAATTTTGTTTCTTCCTCCCTCTCCCCCCACCCCCCCTCCCGTGTACTTGAGGCTTTGGGTTTTTTGTTTGTTTGTTTATTTGTTTGGGGGGGGGCTTGGCTTGAGGGAAAACTTTCACTATTTTTTTCTATATGTAAACAAAATACACCCTTATTAGGAGTGTTTTTTTTTAAGTACAACTAAGAAAAAATATGAGAGAAAAACCTCTAATAATTCTACTACCTAGACATAACCATTTAAATTTTTGGAATATTGTACTCCAGAATTAAAAAAAAATAAAATAGGGTCTATGTCAATTATAATTAAGAAATACATTAAAAATAAATAAATAAAATAAGGTCATATTATACTGTTTTAAAGACTTTTTAAATTTTTTATATATCACAATTATTGTTCCACATTAAAAAAAATGTGTGTTTCCAATTTTATTCTAGTACAGTTCTTTATAAACATCCTCATAATTACATTGGAATGTTAGTTCTTTTCTTAAGGTGTCTAAATTTACACCTTAAAATTAGTCATTTTATATTTTCTATTTTAATCTTTAGTGTCCAAGGTTCTCTGCTAATGTCTTCATGTTTTTCCTATAATATGAAAGTTTTCATATTTATATATCGCTTTTAGAAGTTTTTATCATATATATCACATTTCAGTTTTAAAATACTTTATTTTATACTAATTGTAATCTGAAGTAAGTAAAAAAAATTTTCCTCATTTTTCAGTAACTGAAAAGATGAGTTAACTGAAGTATATGGAGTGATTTTCTCAAGATCATAGAGCCAGTGAGTGAGAGAGTTGGGTGGGGCTAGAAGGTTCTTTTTTCCTTAGATCAGTAATTTCTCTTTTGTGAGCAAGACCCTTGTAGGGCCATGAAGTAAGTGTAAAAGGTCCACAAATCCATGTCTGGAAACAGAATAAGCATATTATTTATTAGAAAGTGTTATAAATAGTAAAACATAAATTTGTTGGAAATAAGTATTAAATTAATGGTTGTTTTTTATGTATTTTCTAAATCAATAGATTAAAAATTATATTTATCATCACTTAGGAGACCCACAACATTTTTTAATGTTGGAAAGGCATCCTTGTACTTGAAAAAATTAGGAACCAGTGCTTTCAGCCTTTGGAGTTCACTGTATTTGCTCTCAGGTATTATAAAATGGCTTAGAACTCTTGAAAAAACCATGCTTTAAAAATATAGCCAGCAGTATTTTATCACAAATAAAATTTTCCCCATGATAGAAATTAGGCTGCCCAGAAATATTCTTACTAGGTCTTGTTCTTTAGAGCTTTCAAAGAAAAAAAGTAGGTGATTGGAACTATAAAGATGTAAGATGTGAAGATATGAGACATGAAAGCCAATACATGTAAACAACTCTTCATTGCCATAGTTTGCAGAAGTACCCTTGGCATTGTCAGGGTAGGAGAGCCAATCATAAATCACATTGCAGACTGGAGGCTCTTGCCTCCCACCTGAAATACTAATTGTTTCACAACTCTGCTAAATCGGAGTCCTAAAACCAGCCTAGTGTGGATCCTCAAGGCAGAACCCTTACAAATTCTTACTTCAGAGACTAATCAGAAATGAACACTTTAAGGTATTTTCCCCTTAAGCTTTCTTTAAAACACAAAACAATTCTGACTGTTCATAAATAGGTTACCTGGAACTATACGTAGTCATATTCAAAGAGACAGAAAGTAGAATGGTGGTTGCCAGGATTTAGGGATAGAGGGGAATGGAAAGTTATTGTTTAGTAGGTAAAAAGTTTCAGTTTTACAAAATTAAAAAGATCTGGAGATAGAAGGTGGTGATCGTTGTACAACATGAATGTACTTAATGCCACAGAACTGTACATTTAAAAATGATGCCGAAACCGGTTTGGCTCAGTGGATACAGCGTCGGCCTGCGGACTGAAAGGTCCCAGGTTCGATTCCGGTCAAGGGCATGTACCTGGGTTGTGGGCACATCCCCAGTGGGAGATGTGCAGGAGGCAGCTGATCGATGTTTCTCTCTCATCGATGTTTCTAACTCTCTATCTCTCTCCCTTCCTCTCTGTAAAAATATCAATAAAATATATTTAAAAAAAATAAAAATAAAAAAATAAAATAAAAATGGTTAGCATGGTAAATTTCATTTTATGAATATTACTAGAGGCCCAGTGCACGACATTCATGCACTGGAACGGGGGGGTCCCTCAGCCCAGCCTGTGCCCTCTTGCAGTCCGGGACCCCTTGAAGGACATCCCCCGAGGGTCCTTAGCACTGCCGCGGAGGTGAAAGAGACTCCCACCACCGCTGCTGCACTCGCCAGCCGTGAGCCCAGCTTCTGGTTGAGCAGTGCTTCCCCTGTGAGAGTGCACTGACCACCAGGGGCAGCTCTTGCATTGAGTGTCTGCCCCCTGGTGGTCAGTGTGCGTCATAGTGACCGGTCGTTCTGCCGTTCAGTTGATTTGCATATTAGCCTTTTATTATATAGAATATCACAATTAAAAATAACTGATTTTTTAGAGAAAAGAGTAGGTTACCTGGAGACTAGATTTTTAAAAAGGACTTTTACTCACAAAATCAACGTAGAACAGAATTATACTAAGACATTTCATTTTTTTTGGTATGAATTTGATTCAGAGATAGGTAAAAGATAATGTATACAAATTAACAAATACTTCTAAAAATTCCTGAATCATATCATCTTATGTATGGGGACACAATTCACAAAAACTTGAAGATAAAGAAAATATGCCAATAATAACTCAATACTCCAATTTTTTTTTTCTAGTACAGTAAGTCCTCAGTTAACATTGTCGATAGGCTCTTGGAAACTGCAACTTGAAGCAAAAATGACTTATAACAAAACCAATTTTACCAATAGGCTAATTAATATAAATAACAGTTAAGTTCTTATGGCATATTTCTGATAACCCAAACATCACCAAGCTTCTAAATAAAGAACCAAAACACCAAAATAATGTAGGCTATACATACATTTAAGAAAGATTAATAAAAACAAATAAGAATAATTATTTTCCAACCCTTTTATTCCAGTTCAGGGTCACAGGTGGTCAGAGCCTCTCTCAGCAGCTCAGGGCACTGCAAGGATGCCTTTCCATCAAAGAGTGCATCACGCCCACACCCACGCTCACCCATACAACTTAGACATGCCAGTTGACCTCTCGTGGACATCTTTGGGATGTGGGAGGAAACTTAAGAGTCCTGAGTGAAAACCCACACAGACATGGGGAGAACTGTGCCAACTCCACACAGACAGTGGCCCCCACTCTGGGAATTTTTCTCATTAACATTATAAGGAAAAGAGGAAATGACCTTGGAGGAAATGACATTTGAGCGAAACAACGTTATTCAAGGACCTGCTGTATTGAGTTGTGTAACTCTAGTTAATTATTCTTTTTGTATGTCAGTTTCCTCATATGTAAAACATGAGTATTAAAGCAGATCTGCCGACAGGACTCATGAGAAATAGCTAATAAAAAACCATAAAACTCTTTTTAATTACAGTGTTAATATGTAACCGCATTTAAATAGTAGTATTTAAAACATCACTGTTCTTTGTTTTTCATGTCTGCCCCAGTTCATCATCATTAGCAGCATTTATTTTAGCATCTAAATCTGCTTTATTTTATTCCACATGGTGTTTATATGTATTGAACATTTATTTATTAGACAATTCAGAATCACAGAAAGACTAAAATATTCTTCACTTCCCTAGATACCTCCTCTCCAGATCGCTTAACCTTAGCAATAGTTCTGTTTACCTGAGTTTTATACCAATCTTATGCTGACATCTTTTCTCAGATGAGATGAGAATTAAGATACTTACCAATACCCTCAGTTGCCATTTTCTTGTCATAAAGCACATACCATAGGGTGGATATACTGCGGTGATATTTGTCACCACTCTACTTATTTGGCCAAAGAAGGCTTGTTTGATACGTGGTTGTCAGATCAAATTATAATTTAAATCCTTTAGCTATGTTTAGCCCCTTGGCAGTGGATGAGTTGAGAATTTAGAATTCAGAAGCAGATGGTTCGGGAGCAGGGTAACAGATAGGAAACATGTTACCTCTATGTCATGGGTTTGAATGTGAACTTGGTTGATCACTATTAATGTTCTATACAAGATGTAAAAGATCTGATTTCAGTCTCTAATGAGCAGCACCCCATGTTACAAAAACTAGTTACTCTTGGCACTAATTAGCATTCTTGTTGTCAGCGTCAGGCTGGAAGCCAAGGACTGGCTGAATCAGCCTGGAAACCTGAACTGCTGCTGTGTCTGAGTCATCAGTCTAGATGGCCCATTCAGCTTGTGGCCTTTGCTTAGAGCTTACAGCTCAGCGCAACTGTATGCACCTCACTCTGTGTGACCTCACGAAGCCAGATTTAAAGACATTCACTTAAAATATATCTTTTTACAATAATAATGGTAATAATGATGGCTAACATTTATTGGCCATTTGCTAGGAGCCAAGTATTGTTCTAAGAATATTAACTTAATTATCTCAATAATCCTATGATGTAGGTACTATTACTTTCCCCATTTTTAAACAAAACATGTTTTTGTTGATTTTTGGAGAGAGAGGAAGGGAGAAGGAGAAGGGAGAAAGAGATAGACATATCGATTGGCTGCCTCCTGCATGCCCGCTACTGGGGATCAAACCCACAACCCGGGCATGTTCCCTGCCCAGAAATGAAATCAGTGACCTCTTGGTGTATAGGTCGATGCTCATCAACCGAGCCACATCCACACCAGCTGGGCTTCCCCATTTTTTAGAGATGAGAAAACTGAGGCACAGAGATTAAATAACTTGCCTAAGGCTTCTCAGCTCATAAGTGGTGACTCTGGAATCAACCCTGAATATACTTACTCTCTGTCTAATTATAACATCTGTTTGATTTTTTCTTTTACCATCTTACTATACCACTAATATATATATATATATATATATATATATATATATATATTTAAATTCTGTGTTTAAACCAAGCAGGGCACACATCAATGTCTCAACTTTAAAATTGTTCATCTTCCTGTACTAGTTTGTTTTTTTTCTGAAAGAGGCCATGTATCTCTTTTAAATTTGATTTAGGTACATCATTATTTTTAACTTAAGGTACTTGAATAGCTTGATATTACAATGGCTTTTATGGCATCTATTTTTTGTTGTTTGAGATAAACATTACTTGAACTTAGAAACATTCTCTGACTTTATCTTTCTACATTAATAAAGAAGGGAGAATCAAATAAAATCCTGCCAACCACTCTATCCCAACACAAACAGTGAATGATCACCAAATAGTCAGTCCAGCTGCCTCTTTTTGTTAACATAGTAATTGGATTTTTTCCCACCTACTATTCATGCAAAATTAGAAAACAGATAAGTATATTTTTGAAAATCTGGGTCTCTTTTATGAGATTCTCCATGGTAGATAGGGAGGAAGTTTTTAGTAGATTGAGATAAATAACCTTTAAAATAAAGTTAATAAGCAATGCAATCATTTTAATGGAGAAAATCAATTAACCTGCTTCTCACAATAATTTTCTTACAATATAGTAAAATATTATTTGCTATAATTACCAGCTAGAAATAGAAAACAATCTATAATCATTTTTTGTGTTTCTTTTAGTTGCCTTTGATACTCAGTTACTCAAGGCATGTTGTAAGTCTCATATGTCACATATTTATTGCCCCAGTTTTGCAAATAGATAAATTTTAGGGTGTTCCCCAAAATAGCTGTCTTCAAAGTTGATATGTAAACTTAATGTAATCTATACTAATAAAAGGGAAATATGCTAATTAGAACAGACATCTTTTGGACGTCCTTCCAGACAAAGTCGCAGTGGCTGCAAGGGGCAAGGCTCAGGTCGGCAGTGGTAGCAGCAGCAGGGTAATGGGGGCAGTGCCTTCCCCTGATCCGCCAGGTCACCTCCCACAGATCAGGCCAGCAGGGGGGCAAGTTAGGGTTGATCAGGCCTGCAGGGGACCAGTTGGGGGCAGTCAGGCTGGCAGGAGGGACAGTTAGTGGTGATCAGGCTGGAAGGGGGAGCAGTTGGGGGCGATCAGGCAGGCAGGCAGTTGAGCGGTTAGGAACCAGCCGGCCCAGATTGTGAGAGGGATATCCAATTGCCGGTTTAGGCCCGATCCCATAGGGATCCCCAAGGGGTCCCCAATTGGAGAGGGTGCAGGTTGGGCTGAGGGAACTTTCCCCTCTGTGCACGAATTTCGTGCACCGGGCCACTAGTTCTATATAATAAAAGCCTAATATGCAAATTGTCCCCTTGGGTGGTCGTTCAACCTGGAGTTTGACTGCTCGCTATGACGTGCACTGACCACCAGGGGCCGGCACAGAACATGGTGGGCATTGGCAACGTGGTGCTGGCAACGGGCGGCAGTGGAGGTGCTGCTGGCCCCGATGGGCCATGATGAGAGCAGGACTGTGGCAGGATGGTGGAGCAGGTGAGCGGGTGGTACCAGGTCAAGGCGGGTGTGAGCGGGGGCCTAATCACCCTGTAGACTGCGACCAGCGGCGGCAGCGAGGAGCAGGGCCACCACCCAGCTCCCAGGCGCTGAGGGAGCCGGGCAGGGCTTCCAGCCCTGATTGATTGCCCCGCAGGTGGGATGGTGGAGCAGGTGAGGGGGCGGCACCAGGTCAAGGTGGGGTGCCAGGTGGGGCTGTGAGGCTGGGGGCATGAGCTGGGGCTGTGAGGCTGGGGGTGCGAACTGGGGCCCGATCTCTGCAGGCCATCCCAAGGGACCCCACCCATGCACGATTTTGTGCACCAGGCCTCTAGTAGTAATGTAAATGCAATCTGGGTTTCACAGCTGATTTACATTTCCATGTAGCAAGGCCATTGTAGTACTTAATTTTCCTATGTATAAAGCAATCATAATAAAGACCAACTTCAAGGGCAAAAACAGTTCTGTTGTTTTTTGGGTTTTTTTTAATCCTCACCCAAGGATATGTTTTTATTGATTTGAGAGAGAGAGAGAAACCTTGATCAGTTGCCTCCCATAAGCACCCTGCCCGGCCTGGGATTGAACCCAAAACCTTTCATTATACAGGATGATGCTCCAACCAACTGAGCCACCCAGCCAGGGCAGTTCTGTTTTTGTTTTTTAATTAGAGCATAATAGCCAATATATGATATAAATAACTTTAAAAAGATAAAATGCTAAGTAAATATCTACCTAAAACATAATGACCATATGGCCTCTTATGCTTAATTTCACTATGTCTAGTAATTTTCAGACAGACATGCATAGAGAGAATTGTTTATTATTTATTGTTGCTTCAGTTCCTTTAAGTTGTTTCTTTGACCAGCCAGAGAGAGGGAATCATCCAGATTTCCAAGGACTTGGAAGGGCTTGGAAGAGAGTCACTAAATCAACATAATCTCAGTATCACTGGTGCTCTCCTTCTTGTCACTCTACATCTTCTGAGTTTTCTTTTCTTCAAACTAATCCCTAGATACATTACTAACAGGCATGGATGCCTCTGAAAGGTGGTATGGTGTAGTAAAAAAGAGCTACTAGGGCTTGGAAGCATCATATAAACCTGGATATGAATCATACTCTGAGTGGCCTTATACAAATTGTTTCTCTGATCTTCAGTTTATTCCTCTATAAAAAAAGAGGATAGCCCTGGCCGGGTAGCTCAGGCTAGAGCATCATATGCCAAGGTTGTGGGTTCGATCTCCATATAGGAATCAGCCAATGAATGCATACATGAGTGGAACAACAAATCAATCTCTCTCTCCTTCTCTCTCCCATCAAAAGAAATTTTTTAAAAAAGAAAACAGAGTATATAGTATATTTTGGACAATCTCAAGGTATACTTCCTGAGACTTTTTCAGATCCCCAAATTTGCAAAAACCACAGTAGCATATAATTTTTTCAGTTTCATCCTCCATAAACTGGGGTAATGACCCATACTTCCTGGATTGTTGTATTAAACTAAATTATATATTACATATGAACAACAAAGCTTGGTTGGTGTAGACACTGGGCTGGGTCAGTTAGGGTCTCTCGGGTAGCTAAATAATTCATTTTGGCTTATCTACCTTTCAAGAAGTCCAATTTGGAGTCAGCACAAATAGTTGAAATCTTGATCTAAATAAGAGAAAATTTACATATGTCTTAAGTATACTCTTTATTTCTAGAAAAACAGGGAGGTTAGTCTGTGACTTGAGCTTGTATCCCCCAAACCAGGGCACGTGAGTGGACAGAACTGCCCCTCAGCTAGCTATGGGCAGTAGAATCTTGAAGCCAAAACTCAAGAGAAGTAGTCTGTGGAGGAAAAAAAAAAAAAAAAAAAGAAAAGTAT